GTCTTTAGGCCCTTGACATAAGTTTAGGCCTCAGAACTGCGAGAGGTGTGGCAGAGGCGGACTTGTCAAGGATGACCGTGTCCGAACAGGCGAGAGCTACGGGGCCTTCGCTCCACCCTGTCCCCCGTTTCTGCACAGTCATTGCTCCCTTGTGTCCCGCTACACGGGGGCACGGGCATCACACCGTGCCAGTGGCGGCCCCACTCGGGGGGACCTTCCCCCATCGGCACCAGCAGTGTCCCCGGCTGCGGTCCTCTGGGATGCTGGGGCATCACCATCCCAGCATCACCATCCCGGGATCACCGCAGGAGCGGGGCTGGCAGAACCAGGAAGAGATTTTCCCGGGCAGGGGCACCGGCCCAGCTGCAGCGGGGAATCTCCTCTGGGCAGAAGGGGAAAGTTGCTCCCAGGGAGGGTTTGGGTTCAAATGGGCCCAGATCGGGGCCGGGGACCCTCCAGGACTGCCGGGTCTCAGTGCCCCCAAGCAGCCCTTGGTATCGCCAAGACCTGGGGGGGCTCGGGGGCTTGGAAACAGGGCAGAGGGGTAAAACTGGAGTGAAACAAGGGTCCGGATCCATACTGGGAGAAGGCTGGAACCCAGTGGTCTTTGGGGAGGCAGGGACAGAACAGGGTGTCCTACACGTCAGGAAACAGGAAATGTGACTGTCACCTGTGATTTCCCCATTGCGGCTGGGCACGGGGGACACGGGGGCACCCGGCAGGACCCAGCTGAGCAACAGGAAAACCAGAGACGTGAAACATTTCCAAAGCTGCCTGCAAAGGGTGACGTGTTTCCGTCTGGGGGGGTGTGAAACCACTCACGCAGGGACAGGGACAGGGTGGGAAGAAGGGCATGAAACCACCTTCAGACCTTCTTGAGCGCCGCCTGTCCCGGGCACTGTGACCACACCCTTGCCACTGGCTGGGGTGGCAGGAGGGACAGCTCCAGCAGCAACCCTTGAGGGGATGGGGAGGCTGGAGGGATCCAGAGCTGCTTGAAGGACTTTGGAGGTGCCTGAGGGGCCCTGAGATGCCCAAAGAGCTCAGAGGCTTTTGAAGGATCCACACAAACCAGGGGGATCCAGGGATGCTGGAGGGGCCAGGTGTCTCCTGGAGGGACGTGACGCTGTGTTGATGGGGGAGCCCCCCAACCCAAGAAGAGATGGCCAGTCTGTGGGGGAACCCCTTCCTCCATGGGAGACAGGGAAGGGACAGGGTTGGGGTGAAGTGGAGCAGACCGAGGGGTGCTGGGGGTGTCGTACAGTGTCCACCTGCAGCACCGCCCATTACCTGGCACGGCGTGGATACAGTGGAGTGATGGAGGGGGGCTGCCCACTGGCCGGGGCAATGGAGATGCCAGGGGACCTAGAGACGCTGTCACCCCTGGCCCACACCACCCTCCCACCCCACACTCATGCTGCTTTGTGCTCCACAGGCAAAATGGAGTCCTTCTCCTTCAATGGGGATTTCTCCAACTTCTTCTCCCTCTACAATTACACCTATGACTACAGCACAGCCATGCCCGACACTGCTATCTCCTCTGCCCCGTGCCGGCCCGACAGCTCTGTCCTCAACAAGTACCTAGTGGTGGTGATCTACTGCCTCGTCTTCATCCTCAGTGTAGTGGGGAATGGGCTGGGGGTGCTGGTGGGGCCCCCCAGCCACACCAACCGCTCCGTCACCGACATCTACCTGCTCAACCTGGCCGTGGCGGACCTGCTTTTTGCCCTCAGCCTGCCCGCCTACCGAGCCCACGAGTGGGTCTTCGGCACTGTGATGTGCAAAGCCATCTCCATGCTGCAGGAAGCCAACTTCTACAGCGGCATCCTGCTGCTGGCCTGCATCAGTGTGGACCGCTACCTGGCCATCGTCTACGCCACTCGGGCCGCCACCGAAAAGAGGCACTGGGTGAAGTTTGTCTGCTTGGGCATCTGGGTCTTCTCCGTGCTGCTCTCCCTGCCCGTGCTGCTCTTCCGTGAGGCTTTCCCCTCACCCAGCAACGGCACCGTGTGCTACGAGCGCATCGGCGGCGAGGACACGGCCAAGTGGCGGGTTGTGCTGCGGATCCTGCCGCAGACCTTCGGCTTCGCCCTGCCCCTCCTGGTGATGCTCTTCTGCTACGGCGTCACCATCCACACCCTCCTGCAGACCAAGAACGCCCAGAAGCAGCGGGCCATGAAGGTCATCCTCGCTGTGGTGCTGGTCTTCCTCATCTGCTGGCTGCCCTACAACATCACGTTGGTGAGCGACACCCTCATGAGGACGCGGGCCATCACCGAGACCTGCGAGAGGAGGAACCGCATCGACACGGCCCTCTCTGTCACGCAGGTGCTGGGCTTTGCCCACAGCTGCATCAACCCCATCATCTATGCCTTCATAGGGCAGAAGTTTCGGAACAGCTTCCTCAAGATCCTGGCGCAGCGCGGGCTTATCAGCAAGGACGCTGTGGCCCGCTATGGCCGCACCTCTTATGTCTCCACCTCCGGCAACACCTCTACCACCCTCTGAGCCTTGCTGGGCCCCGACCCTTGCAGCTCCCAGCAGGTCCCGGCACCCCACGCACCCCAGCATCCTTGCCCAGCCCCCTGGGATGCAGGCAGTGATGCCACAGGGATGGGCAGGGCCACCACTGGATGCTGGACCCTGGCTGGAAGGGCGCTTGGGCGGCGAGGGGGTAGGACCCCATTGCCAGGGGAGTGATGCCAAGCTCCGCCCACCCTCCCTGCTCTTTGGGGCAGAGCCTGTGACTTTGGGGACCCTGCAACCCCGCTGTGGGGGCAGTGTTTGTGGCTGACGGCCGTCCAAAAATAAAGCAGTTGGTGGGTTGGTCACCCAGGTCTGGCTCCTCTTTGCCACGGGGAGGGAGATGGTGGGATGGGGCCAGGGCACATCTCTGGGGACGGTGGGTCCTGGGCTCCCCACCTCAGTGCCAAAGCGGCGGCGCCAGCCGAGCCCGGCGAGGTGTGGGTAAGCCTGCTTCCAGGCCAGAGAAGGGCTGTTGCCCAAGAAGCTGTTGCAGAGGGTTCGGCATCCTGTGTGTCCCCAGAGGGGGCCCAAACCCAGGTCTCGCTCCCTGCAGCTGCCCCGCCCCGGCGCTGCGGTGCCAGGACATCGTTGTGCAAAGGGCTGGGAACCTGTCCCTTACACAACCAGGACGTTTCCGCCCCGGCTTGGGCAACTGGGGCTGGCACCAGAGCGGGGCAGAGGGGCTAAAGAGAGGGCTGTGACCCTGCTGGGGTCCCTCCTGCCACCCTGTGTGCCAGGCATAGGAGTGCCTGCCCCAATGCGCCCAAACATCTTTCCATGGGGGTCCCGTACTGCTTTTCTACCCCCCTGCTCCAGGCTCCTGGGGGTCCTTAACTGTGGGAGCATCAGTGGGTGGCAGCCGTGGGCTGACTCATGGGTGGGCACAGGGGTGCCCCGGCACCCAGGCGGGGAGCCCTGGGGACGTGGGTCTGGGCAGGATCAGCGGGGATGCTGGGCAGGGACAGCCCATCACCTTTGCATCTGGGAAGCCTCTTGCCCAAGCAGTTCCTCGCAGCCTGGCAGGAAGCCGGGGCTGTTGGCCAAGAGCCGTCCCCCCCGCC